CTGCTCCTTCTGCTTCAGCTCATCCTGCACACACACACACACACACACACACACACACGTGTGAACACACCACCAGGCCTCCAGCGCAGGAGCGGGCCAGACGTCACACACACCTTCAGGGAGCAGGAGGCGGTCTGCTCGTCCACCACGGCCTTCTTCAGCACCTGATTCTGAGCTCTGAGCTGACACACACACACACACAGCAAACACACCACTGCTTATACAGTTCACCAGAACACATTTAATCATTTAAACACTTTTAACGTTAGAAGATGAAATGACAAATGATAGGAGACAGTGTGAAATCACTAATGTCTGTTGAAGAAGAGCTCACCTTTGAGTACTCCTGGGCCAGTTTACTGTATTTACTCTGCAGATCCGTCACGTTGGCCATGATATCGGCTGTCAGGTGTGTGTGTGTTTGTGTATATCGCGTGGATCTATGTGCTGCGGGGTGAGTGTTTGAGCATCACTGTGTTTATGAAGATAGAGTCACGTGAGCACTGACTGCACATCTGCGGCTAATGCTAATGCTAAGCGGATATCTGCAGCAAGCACAGCGGATATTTTACACAGACTTTATCAAAACAGCGTAACGTGTATCGTTTTTCACTCTATGAGACCGTATATTGTTTTTACAAGTCAAACCTGTTAAAATCGTTCATTTGTTTCGATCCTTGCATCGTCTCTATAGCCTTTAGCAGACAGAATGGCATCAGTCACATCGAAATATCGCGCTGTAAGTCACACTTCTGCTGTGAAACACTCCCGACGGGTAAACAAATGAAATGACTTTCACATTCACGGATCTCTTATTTTTAATATCGCTTTGAGCAGCTCTGTGCACATCAGCGACTCTATCACCGGACCGACCGATCACGTGATCACGGCAACGGCGCACGCCCTTCAAAATAAAAGCCCCGTCATAAAATATCACATGAACGTCATCCTCAACGACAATAATAATAATAATGTCGCTGCTGCCGCCTGCTGGTCAGAGCGCTGTTAATGCAACAAAACATGCAGAAAAACAGCTTTTACACACTGCAGGGGCCCCGTCCCTCATAGGGCCCTTGGACTTCTCCTAACCTTCCTCTTATGGCGCCCCTGAGCAACTGTGAAAGTTTTATTGAAAGTGTAATCTATGAAATGCTATTAATCGAATATTAAATGTGTCAGTATATTAGCCTATGTGTATTGTATTCATGTGATGGGCTTGTGTTTGCTTTATCAGGACAATAAGAGACTATTAACTACAACTCCTAGGGTTTTAGGGTTACAAATGCATCTTTAAAAAGGCCTACACATGTATAAAAGTGATCAGAGTTGATGTGAAATAAACGAGGACACCGGCTCATGGGTTCACGGAGATCTCATGGACATTTCTACACATTTTGGCTGCGTCCAAAAGCTCTAGCTAGTGTGCACCTCTGAAAGCATACTCCACCTGACAGTGTGCACACTATCTGTGATTCATTTGCATTAACAGAAAGCCAAATAATATACAGATCAGTGGCTCACCTTCAGTTTGGCGAAGCTACGAGAATACTTGTGTACTAGTGTAAATGCATTTAAAACGTGAACAAAGCAGATAAAAGGAGGGAAAATAGGAAATCCGGAGTACTTTACATAAAGAAATATATAAGTGTGGAAAAAGAGTTTAATGGTGCTGTGCACTGATTGTAGTGTAGAGGCTAGAGTTATCAGATGGAGGAAACTAATGCATAACTAAAACAAGCAGGAGCACAAATGAGCATATAATTACTTAAAAATGAACTCAAATAAAATTAGTTTAAATATTGTATTTCATCTAGTTGTCAAAGCAACCTTTCTCGTTTTTATTCAAGTACTAAAATAAACAACAACAACAACAAAACTACATGGTCTTTTAAAAACAAATAAAAACACCACTACTAGAACTGTAACAGTGCCCTTGTGAAAAAGACGTGCATTTAAGTGCTTTTATAAAGTGCACTTATTGCTGTAATAATATACTTGAAAATAACACACATAAGTGCAAATTAAATGTTATTTTCGCCGCTTAAATACATTGTATTTGTAATTCATTTCAAATGTATCACATTTTAAAGTTATATTAAATGCAGTAAGCTGAACTTTTGAGTGACTTAAGTGGGACGTTTTAGTACATCTTTATATGTACAATTATATGTTCATCATTGCTTCTAGTGTCATTAAACTGTGGTTAAAGTGTACTACTGATGTACTGACAAGCAATTCATGTGAACTAAAATATACTTTAATGTCAGTTAACCATACACTTAAGTGTGAATTAAATGTAATGTTTCCGACCACATAAATGCATATTATCTGTACTTGATTTCAAATATATTACAGTTTAAAATTACATTAATTGCAATTAGTTGAACTTTTGAGTGATATTTTTGAACCACTTAAGTGGGACTTCAGTACATTTTATATGTACTTTGAAATATTAATGTGAACTAAAATATACTTCAATGTTATATATCTCTGGCAATGAAGTTGAAATTTAGTATATTTATTTAATTTTTTTAATCTCTTAATTACCTAGTTACAATCAACACAAACACAAAATGGAAAACCCTCTACATTTATTGGCTAAACAATCTCTAAAACAAATACACAAAAACGCTTTTTGCTGACGCACAAGAGAAACCCAACACTACACACAGTTACAACACTTTAACTCACTTATTAGAGTCTGAGAACAATGCAGAATCACTTACATGCTTACTTACAAAAGTACCTGATCTCGCCATCACAGAAAACATCATTCTGTATGATCTATAAGCCTGTTTCCAGGTCAACATTGACTGTTGTTACGATCCTCGTGGAACACACACACATTATACGAACAAATCAAGAAAATTAAACAAAAATTAACAAATGAGACCTTGTTGCTAAACATGACCAATCTATGTTACGTGTGCCCCTGGATTCACAGACAAGGCTTAAGACCAGCTCCGGACTCAAATGTAATTCTGAGCTGATTCAACTGAAAGAAACTTGCACTGACTGATCTTTAAAAATATCAGTGCCTTAGCTCTGTCTCAAGATGCTCACCAGTAATGTTTCATTTTAAGGCATGTTAATGAATGACTTAAATGTCCTTATCGAACTATGATCCTGGCTTAGTCTAAGCCCTGTCTGTGAAAGCAGACCATTAGTTCTCAGACCTTTACTAGCACCAACATTAAACAGGGCCGAAAGGTTTCTTCTAAACTCTTACTCCAGCATTAGTGAATGCAAATTTGACTAAATAAATAGATTAAAGGGGTCCTATTATGCTTTTTCACTTTTTTAATTTTAGTCAGTGTGTAGTGTGTATGTTTGGGCATAAAAAAGATCTAGAAAGTTACAAGTCCTCTCCAAAGGGAGATATTTCGGTTTTTTTAAATCCCTTTTCAAGAACTACAACGAACGGCTCGTTTGGACTACAGCGTTTGTTTTCCGGTCTTTGTGACATCACAACCGCCGGTGTGCGTACACTCATAGAAAATAATGTATTTGTATTTTAAAGACGTGGCATAATGTATTTGAGCGACGCTGCGCTTCTCGTACGGTGCGCGACCGCCTGAAACGCTGTTTTTTTCACCTCCGTGCCCAAACGTCTTTGTTTGGGCTTCCGAAAGCGGATGATGTCAGGAAACAGTGCTTGCAATTTATTTTTTAACTCTGTTCCTGAGCATTATAACCCCAATTTGCTATTGTGTGCTGCGCATTTTACTGAGGACAGCTTCCACAACACGAGGGAGTACAGTGCCGGATTCGCCAAAAGTTTTTGTTGAAAGACGGAGCAAGGGGCGTGGCAGTACTGAAACACCGTCTAAGCTGTTCGCCAATCACAACACACTGGGACAGCTAACCAATCACAACACATTTTGTTTTTCGGAAGGCGGACCTTCATCAAAGCCGGAACTAATCGAGCCGTTTGTGCCAGGATGGGGAGAAAGGTATTTTAATAATGTAAATTATGTGAAAAATAATGCGTTTTTCGAACCACCAAGCATGAGAGCATGTTCTAGTACACCCCCAAAACATAATCAAGACTTTGTAAAAGAGCATAATAGGACCCCTTTAAATAATAATAAAAAAAAGAACTGCAAATGAACTTGCTGTCTGTCAGTGTCCCAGAAGCTCTGCATCAGCACTAAACTCCACATATCATGAAGCTGCACACCATCTCTCCACAGTCTGTGTGAACGCAAATGCTCCAAAGAGGCAGGAACGTCAGAAAATATACCTGGAGGAAAGAAAGAAACAACAGAAGAACAACCACTGTTATAAAACATATGCAGTCATTATAAATGGTTCAGCTGAGTGAAAGCAATAGACACAGTTGCAGTCCAAAGTTCATATACACCTTGCAGTATCTGAAATGTTTCTTTGGATAAAAGCGTCTAATAAATGACTAAATAAATAAAAATAAATAAATGTTAATCATTTAAGCAGTAAGAGATAGAGAGGTAGAATCATTTCTGCTCTGATGAAGCAGTTTATTCTGCAGGTGTGTGTAAACGTTAGACCGCATCTGCATCAGCTAAGAGATGAATTACTCAGTCATCAGCGCTCACACAAACAGCAGAACCCCTGACCACACCATCTTCACTGACACTGCGCTCTAAAAATAGATAACGTTTTCACAAACATGGATTATTCCTACTTTACCGAGAATAAAACATCACTTTATCAATTACAAAAAAAATAGATAAATATCCCAAAATGCATGAAAATGAAGAGAGGTAGCTGATCTTGCCCTGCACGCTTCTCTCGCACATCTTCATGAAGGATGTTCCTGTATTTACCGACTGACACAGCAAAGCTGAAGCCCCCTTCCTTGTGTTGTTCCCTGTAAAATATATGATGATTAGAGGGGGTCTGTACATGCACAGGTGGGAATACATCACTTGCAAATGGAAAAGATTCAAAGCAGTTAAAATCCATAGGGATAGTGACTTAATATAGCACTTTTAGCTTGTAATGTGTGATCAGGGTGAGCTGACTGAGCAACAATTCATTATAAACTTCTAACATCACCTCTTCAGTACTGCTCTGTGTTTCCACACTGTATCTCCAGTAACAAAACTGTTCTGATCCTGCTAAATGAACGAATAACTCCAGATAAGTACAAAAATATTACATATTACAAACACAAGCAGTAACAGAACATCTCGCTCTTCAAATGCAAAAAAACAAAACAAAAAAACTGCATTATTTCTAGAGGTGGCTGATATATTGAATATTACTGGTGGTTATAATATCGATTATGTATATTAAATATTACAAGATCGGATCTTTGAATGTAGTTTTCAGCAGCCATTTGTGTTGGTCCACACACGCGATCACATTGCGATATCAGTCATAGACACGATTAATGCAGCTCCCGAGTGCATACAGCAAGAACCGCCGCGCTACGGTGGAAGCCGCACGGATGGCGAGACTAAATTCAGAATAAAGAAAGCTTATGTCAAGATATACTTGATTCATCGTCTGCAGTACAGAGTCTCGTCTGTAATCATCCAAGCGTGGCGCTTTGTTCTCTCGTTCCCTCACACACCGCGATTACACAAACATGCACCGCGCATTTGTCAAACTTTTGTATGTGTACAGTGAAAAAATAAATGAAAAATAGTTTCCTTTTCACCTTTACAGAAATCACAAGAGTAATCCGTGTCTAATTTAAAGCGTTCCAGCACGTTTAACTGGATATATTCTGTGCATTACTTTAAAAGAAACCTCTACTTTGTTATTAATATAGAATGAGTCTACTGTTCGCCGAGCTCCACATACAGAAAACCAGAAAACCAGCTGGAGGAGCAACAGTGTTATTAAGCATATTCCTAATACAGTTATTTGAGTCTATTTTGTGTAATA